TAGCTTTGGATCAGAATGACAAAGTACGACACCCCCCCGGCAAGCGTCAAGCTCCTTTTCTTCGGTGATAATTCCGGCAATTTTTACTCTCGGATGATTGCTTTGGTAATTTTTTTTATTGTTGTCCAAAAAAAGAAGAAGTAAAAAAATTTAAGAATCAACCTCTCAAAACTAAATTGAGATACAATAGTTTGATTACAAATTTATTCTTCTTTTACATTTGAAAATGTACCATGGAAGTAAAACTCGGAGCGCCTGCAAGAGATGCCCTCGTGGTTGGAGGAATTGATCCAAATTCGAATTTATTTGCTAACGGTCGTTATTATTTCTATAGGGACTTCGATTTAATTATTTTACAGAAAACTTTTGAATTAATTTATGCCTAATTTCGAGAAATATCCAAATTTTTTTTTTTTTGATGAATGAGAAATATCTAATTTGTTATGGAAAAAAGAGCATAATATTTTCCAAAGATAATGACTTGTTTGGTTCAATTATAATTCAAAATAAATAGATATTAACCATATTACCTACCTGTGTTATCCCAGTCCACATGACTTTGTTTGGTTTCAATTACAACTCCTCTTAAATTTCACAAACCTCGGCCGCCCAGCACCACCGCCTATTCCTCGCCGGAAAACCATGGCCGGAATGTTGAACATCACCAACGTTCCAATTTTCAGGCCACTACCACCAACCCGCAGAGCAACGAACCACAGAGTGTTTATGGTGAAGTCGTCGGCAAATACTTCAGAAACCCCTTTGAGTTCGATTTCGGCGCCGCCCAATTTCAAAGCTCCGAAGCCCAAACCCTTTTCGATCCGACCCGATAAGATTATCGACATTTTAGGGGCTTCTCTCGCCTTGCTCTTTCGCCTCACCACAAGTGTACTTGTCTCAGGGTACTTGATTTTTTCCCCAATTTTTTTTTTTCAATTGTGTAATTTAGGGTTTCGTCGATGTGATAGCGATTATGTTGATGGCAGGTACTCTGTGACCGTTGTGCCGGAAAATGAGATTCCGTCCGACCAGTATGCTCTAGGATTCGCCGGTAATTACCAAATACCCTTGTCTTTTATGGGCTATATTTTTGAACAAATTGAGTTTTTTCATATAGCTATTATGAGCTAGGGCTCTTGGTAAATACCAAAATTTTCTATCACGAAAGAGTGAAGAAAAGCAATAATGTATACATACATCGTAAACGTATATACGAGTGAACATTTGCGCGTATAGCATCAATCGAATAAATAGAGAGTTGTTGTAGCTAACCGAATTCTTCTTGTTCACTTGGTTCAATTAATTGAATGAATGCATTTAAGAAGATCCATTTCCGTATTCAGGTTATAAGTTGAAAGAGACTTCAAAAGTAGGCCCTCGCCCCGAGAAGCCGATCGAGATATACGAGTTTGAAGGGTACTGTGAATCAAGTTTCTTACTCTTTCAAATAGTATGTAATCTTACCCCCCCAAAAAAAAACATGACTACAATTTTAGAACAATTAAATTCGGGGTTTTCTATTATATTCGTACGTAACTGCTTGAATGAAAGCTAAGTGCATATGTTGCTCTTTCTCTATGTGGGTTTCGGTGGAACACGCGGGAATTTCTTCAGCTGCCCATTTTGTCGGAAGGTAACTTCAATATCAGTAATTGCGCCTTATGGTTTTATGAACTTTCCGGGCACTGACTGATGTTTCGTTTTTGTTACAGGTTCGGGAAATTGTTGCAGTATTGGATCTTGACGTGCTGTATTATCCCTGTCCGAGAAACGGCCCGAATTTCCGGGCCAAGGTTTCTCAAATGGGTGGAAAACAACAGTATCCTTACATGGTTAGACACTCGTGTTGTTCAAATAAATCATCCTCTGTTTTTACTCATCGTGCAATTTCTGTGAGGTTAAAAAGCTTTTTGTTTGCTTCTTCTTTAGGTGGATCCAAACACGGGAGTCGCTATGTACGAATCAGATGACATAATTAAGTATTTGGCCGGGAAATATGGTATGGTACTTCAATCTGGTTTTTAGATGCCACCTTAATTATTTGTTTTAGTTTTCATCGTAATGAAAATATCTTGCAAATACATGATGTCATGTATAAATGTTCGAGATGCAAGTTTGGTTATTTTGGTATTTTTATTGTCGTCTCATGGTACTTTTTGCTTTGTGAGTTTTAACGATTATGAGTCGGCGGTGCTGATTGTTTCCTCAGGTGATGGCAAAGTCCCGCTTTCGCTCTCTCTCGGTCTGTTAACTGTAAGCAATCCAATTTCGCAATCAGTTTGATCGTATTAAGGATTAGCATGTGTTGATGTAATAACTTTTGTCTACCCATGTTTTTGTTCTTACAGACTTTGACAGAGGGATTTGCTATGATTGGTCGAATGGGGAAGGTGCAGTTTCGCTCGTCCCTGCATGCATTTACATGTTCTCACATTCATTGCAAATTTAATCTCATTTCATTGATTCAATAAGATTTCTTCCACGTACTTTTATTGAAAGCTGCCGCCTAAGCCTCTTGAGATATGCAGGGTTCTTTGTACACTCCATCAAAGCTGCCGCCTAAGCCTCTTGATATATGGGCATACGAGGTTAGATTGTTTGAGACATCAAAAAGTTCGATATTTTCTAGTTTCATATAACATAACTCTTTTGAAATACTACATTTGTTTAATAAATAATAGAAATTATTTTTATGCTTTATGAATGTTCGGAGAACCATATTGTTGATTGTACTTGACAACTCATTTATTTTCATTTCAGGCTTCACCATTTTGCAAAGTCGTACGCGAAGTGCTTGTGGAGTTAGAGCTACCTCACATACTTCACAGGTATAACTCCACTTTCGGTGATGGTATTAATTCACGAGCATAGGGATCTATAGTTCGAACATCTATATCAATGTCACTATTCATTCTCGGAAAGACATAATTACAAATTTACCTCAAAATACACCAATTTTTTTTTAATTTTTTTTATTGTCATAACTATGACGTTATCGGTTATTTTGATTCATAATTGTCGTAATGGGGGTGTGTAGTAGTAATCCATTCATTTGCACAACAATATCTACATAATGCAAAAGAAGTATTTCTTTTCCTTGCAATCATTTGTTTGACAAAGGTTATGTTGCAGTTGCGCTCGTGGAAGCCCAAAACGGCAAGAAATTTATGAGAGAGTTGGGCATTTTCAGGTGATTTGGTGGTATCTTTATGTTTAATTACACATATTAGATGTTTAATTTTGGTGTGTTAATAGTTGGAATTTGTTTTAAACAGGTTCCTTATTTGGAAGATCCAAACACAGGAGTCCAAATGTTCGAGAGTGCGGAAATTATCGACTATCTGAGGGCAACGTACGCTCTCTAAAAGTTTTATTGTAAAACTATTTAAAACATTCTCGTGGTCTTGTACATGTTAGCTCGATTGAAATACGCTGGTACATATCACTGTAGATTTATATACGAATCGCATACTTATACATGTGAATTGTGTATTATTGAATACACACACACACACACACACACACACACACACATATATATATATGTATATTAATGCATTAGTATAATTACTCAGTATCTTAAGTTACAACCTCAATAAATGTAGACATAGGTTACGAACTGTGAATTAATTAATTAATTATATGTAATAAAGAACAATGTCGGGTCAGGAAATTCACCGGGTCAAAAACATCTTGTTTTTCAATTTATGAAAAAAACAATCTCGAATTTCATACTTACAGATAGAGAAAAAGATGCATCGTTGAGTTTGTATGCTGCTCGAAAGCACGAATCCGATTTGCTGTCGATATATAAATATTGCACGGGACCTTACGAAAACCACACATTGTTCCATCCAAATTAACCAAGAAAACAATTAATTTACGTTACGCAATTTATCGATTGATATTCAAACATTGTTCCCCCCATGGTTGCACCACGAATGGCGTTGTTCGTACTAGCAACCGTACTCCACCTTTCCAATACATACGGTTTTTCTACAGGTCACGTACATTTCTCTCTATCTCATTTCATTATATATATATATATATATATATATATATATATATATATATATATATATATATATATATATATATATATATATATATATATATATATATATATATATATATATATATATATATATATACATATATACATATATATATATATACATATATATATATATATATATATGCAAAAACGCGAACTCGCACTCTATATATATATATATATATAGACAGTAGTGCTTAATAATAGAATGAAGCGCTTGATCATGTCCTCGCACGATTCTTCGAGAGATACTTAGATCAACAAAAATATCTCTGTTGCGGTAATCA